TATCACACCATAGGATGAGTAAGAGATGAGTAAGGCATAGACCTGTCTAGACCGTTCTGGAGTAGTACGGATTGTCCTAGACAGTACCAGAAGAGTCCGGAAGCATAGCTATAGTACACGAGCAGAGAGTCCCAAATATGGTAACATACTACATAAGCGACTACAGCTAAGTGCTAGGAGACGCATAGCCTCGTGTAGTCCGGACCGGATAAGTCCAAGTTCAACATGGGGGCATGGAGTTAACTAGTGCGGCTGTTTCTAGTTCATTATCGTCATCAAAGAGCTGAGGATCGATTGCAGGGCTGCTGGATACAGATTCGGACAGCCCACTGTCGGATAGACGGTGATGGCGTCCATCGGAACCGCGCTTTAGGTGAGTATATGCGCCCTCATAATATCTGAAAAAACAATGCACACTAATAGAGACGTATCTTGCATCATCAGGTTGTTGCGCGCTCGCCTCTCGGTGGTATGCAGGCTGCGAACACTACATGGATAGGGTGGTAAGCACATATATGCACCGCAAATAATCAATTGACTCACCGTGTTCTCCCTCTTTCAGTTTCTCCTTCTTCCCTTGTTTCATCACCATTAACGCGGTCTGTAGAAAATGGTTGCCCTCGTGGCGGAGGCATGCCCGTCTGGATTGCGGGCGGGGTCCCATGGTGAGCGCTAGTTCCGGGCGTGCCGCTTTCGCTAATACAACTCCTCGACAGTGCTTGCTTGAGGTATGCAGGTAACAGGCCCCAAGTATTTCTTATATTCGGGTCGGTTATATGCTTAGGGCAGACGTCCATATTTTGAAGGGGGCGGGAGCAGGGGGTGGGAGCAGGGGGCAGGAGCAGTGGACGGGAGCAGTGGGCGGGCGCGGTACCAGCACGGGCGGCTAGTGCGCGCCGCGACGCGAGAGCGTGAGCGTGTTATTTGCTTCTATTTGTACCTAATGTATATAGACTATAATACATAGGATCTCCTCTCTTATTCATGCTAGACTGGGCTAGTAGCTTGCGTGTATACTAGACAGGACTATAGCATATATACCAAGCTCCTTGCATATTGCACTCTACTATGCGTTTAGGCCTCAAACAGCAGACATGTACGATCCCTCGAGAAGTCCATCTATTTGAACCTCGAACAACAGACGTCCATGACCCTCAACTCATCAATGCTCTTGAACCCGAAATCGGAAACCTGTTACAGCGATGTGCACAATGATACGGAAAACGCATTTTTGTGAGCCAGCGTCTGTTGGGCGCTCGGAGACCCAAACACTGTGCTGGGCTGTTGGGCACCCGGAAGGAGCCGGAGACCGAGCGTTATCCCGGTCACAGTAGCCCTCCAGGACGGTCCCCAAAGGCTTAACATGGCAATGAGGAGAGCAGAGAGAAAAGATTAGGATATATGATGCATAACTGATGTTCCATGAAGCAAGACTGATTCGTTCAGTGAAGAGGAGCCACATTTTGTGCTTCATTGGCGATTGTCATGCCCCTGTAACGATGAGTAACAAAGTCACAGTGGTCAGCGTTTGAGTCCCGTGACCATCAGCGTCTCTATGAGCGCTCGTCCCGTGCGAAATGCGTTTTCCGTATCATTCTGCACATCGCTGTAATGTCTCGATCACACAATCTGTTCGACATTGATATTTGGTTCGATAAACCATTTGGTCACAGTTACTGTCCGTTGATACAAGTTCTAACATCAGCAAAACTGCATTGTGATTAGCTTGCAGCACGTGCGGAGCCGTTCAGTAAAATGTGGTCCAAGTTGTACATCCAATTGTTACAAGCATGCTAAGTTCTCTCTGATTCTATTGCAATCCAATAAGGGTCGTAAGTATATTCGAAGCCAATCAAGCCAATTGAAGCCAATTGACACCACCGCTTGCCCCGAAGGGCTTCAATTATTAAGACTATCTTGAGGCATGCTTGATTGGTTCGAAATTTCGCTGGATTGCACAAATAAGGTGCTCTTATGTAAGCACATGTTATTGCGATTGCGCTCAAATTGGGCATGTGAGGGATAGTATTGCGAGGATATGATGTAATCTACAACAAGGTACAGAAGGGATGCTGTAATGTTACGGTTGTCGCCTGATTCACACAAGTCCAAAGTACACTGAACCAATCTCTAGATTGAGAAGGCGTATGCTATGGTGGACGTGGTGAAAGGCTGAGAAGCCTTCGCCACGTCGCGCGGATCCAGATGGATCAGCGCCGATCACCATGACGATCCAGATTTAGATACAAGATGTAGATTAACTATGTAGATAAGATAAGATAATGAACGATCCGTTACATTCTCCCCCTTCAGAACCTGTGCCAGGTTCTCATATGATACCAATGAGGAATAGGGAGTGCA